AAAGCATAGCAAAATTCACGCTTATTTAATATTTATTCATTTGACTTTAAACTTACTAAATGTTGAATGGTAATTTAACTTTAAAGTTAATACACCCTAAAAGATAACTTAACTTTAAACTTACTACACATTGAAAGGTAATTTAACTTTAAACTTACTACACATTGAAAGGTAATTTAACTTTAAACTTACTACACATTGAAAGATAATTTAACTTCAAACTTACTACACGTTAAAAGGTAATTTAACTTTAAACTTACTACACATTGAAAGGTAATTTAACTTTAAACTTACTACATGTTGAACGGTAATTTTATATTGTTGCTCTAATCGTTGAACAATAATTGTTATACCACCACTCATTTGTACACGTATTGGTGGCCATTTAATCGATTGATCATATGGTATTGTCACCTAAATGATATATCATCAACATTAGGATAAAAAATTTAGGATAAGAAAACAAAAAAATCAGGATAAAAAATTTAATTAGGATCTTAATTTAGATAAAAAATTTGTAATAATTATTAAAAATTCATTTTAACAATAAAAAAAATATAATAATACAAACTTGTGCATTACGTAATTCTTCGAATAGTTGTACACGAGGCTTACGTCCTTTTTCCACTTTTAAGTAAAATTTTTCAACATTACTTGTAACCATCTGTAAAAATTAAATTTAAAAAGGAAAAAAAATTTTTTTTTTTTAAAAGTAAAACTATTTAAAATATGCAAAATGAGGATAATATTAAGCAAAATATTTTATAAAAAAAAATATAAACAAAATGAAATTTCACGATTAAATGTTTTGTGATAACATCATTGATTAAGTTAAAAAATTTGCAATAATTATTAAAATTTATCTTTTTTGTTTTTTTTGTATCAGTATTGAATTTTTTACTATCAGATATGATAGTTATAATCTCATATAAATTGATAACATCTAAATATTAATCAAACAAAATTAATCATTAAATTTAAAAGAAAGAAAAAAAAAGGAAAAATTAATAATTTCAGATCGATAATAGTGAAAATTTTCAATAATTTTTTTTTTTTGTTATCATTTATATCTTTAAATTTAATTTTGGATATGATTTTTGAAAAATTATATAACTCATTTGAAATTATAATATTTTATTTAGTCTTATTTTTATGCAATATATGAATTACTGTTTCTTTTTCAATATATTTTATGCAAATTATACTACTTCATTTGTAAAGATTTCGAAATAAAGAGAAATGAATTTTAAAATATTCATTCCAATCCTTTTATCAGCTTATCAGTATTGAATTTTTTGCTATCAGATATGAATAAATGAGTTGTAAATCATGAGGAATAAAATAAACGAAGAGAAAAAAAGTTATTAAAAACAAAAAATAGAAACTTTCGCAAAAAAAAAAAAAACGGTCATTTTCTATCTTTAACGAAATCATCTTACAATAATTACACAAATTCGAAATGAAATTATTAACGAGTAAAATAGTAATGATACTTTGCAAGTACAAAATTAATTATCACAGTAATCTTAAATTAATTACAAGTAAATGCATAAAATACTCATTTCTTTCTTCCAAATTTAATAAAGAAAAATTTTGAATGCTAATTAAATTTTATTCAAAACTTTAATACAGTAGGAAAAAAATACCCTAACAAAGATATTTATTTTCACAGAAAGAAAACAAAAAATTGATGTAACATGACACTTTTTTTTTGATATTAAATGACACTTTTTTATTCTTTGATCTTCGCACTATACCCATTTTATTTGAAAGAAATTATATTTAAATTATATTTTGACAGGAAAAATTCATAGAAAATACGATCGAAATACGATTTAAATAACAATTACAGAACTAACTAAAGTAATTTTTGCATTTGTAAGATAATTTTAAAAAGAAATTTTAAACTTTTGTAAAATACATTTAAACTTTTAAACAAAATTTGAGAAAATTTCAATTCGGTGAAGTAATTTTTATTAGTTTGTTTTTACTACAGATTATATCATTCAAAAAAAAGGAAAAAAAGGAAAGGAAAATATTTAAATTATAATAAAAGATGTAAAATAGTAATGAACGTAGTAATTAGCAATTATCACAAAATACAAAACTATAAATGGTTAGAAAGTTTTGTTATGAGAAAAAGAAAAAAGGAAGGATAGGAAAAATACCGAAAAATAAACCGGTTGATGTAAATTTATGAAAATTATTTAATCGATGCAGTAATATTAGTCCGGAAAAAAATGAGAGATATCAAATCGTCCAATTATAAGTGTAATGATTAGGGGTGATTGTAGGACAATTTCATGAGGAAAGAAAAAAAAATACATTGGAATATTAGAATCCGGTTTAAAATAACGGTTACGGAGAGTTAACTGGAAAGATTTAATCGAATGATTCAAACAATTATGAATTTATGTTTTAGGCATTCATTTTCATTTAATTTCTTTTTTTTTTTTTTATTATAGATTGAAATTTTTTGGAACTTTTTATAAACAAAATAACGTTTCATAACAAATGAATGACACATTTTAAGGAGATAGATAACAATGGATAACATTAAAATCACGATGACAGCAATTAAGATAATGATAAGAGAAGACTAATTGATTGAAACAATCATGATAAGATTAGCTCATGAGAATAAATATCATCAAAGAAGATTAATTGATGAAAATAATTGTAATAAGAGAAGACCAACTGATTGAAACAATCATGATAAGAGTAAATCATGAGAATATCATAAAAGAAGACTAATGGATGAGAGTAATTATGATAAGAGAAGATTAAATAAGTAGAAGACCAATTGGTGGAAACAATCATGATAGGACTAGCTCATGAGAATAAATATTATAAAAGATTGATGAGAATAATCGTGATAAGACTAAATCATGAGAATAATCATGATAATAACTGATTAAAAGAGGAAGCTAAAGAATGATAGAGATGTATAATTGAGTATAACTGATAAAGACATCGAAGAAAGATAGATAAAATAATAACATTTGCCTAATTCTAATCATATAAATGATATGGAATGTTACCTACTATTTTTCATACCAAACTTATTATCATATTCGAAATTAGAAAAAAAGAACAAATAAACAAAAATAGAATCGAAAATAGGAAAAGCAATATCGAAAATAGAAGAGAAAAGAAAAAAAATACTTAAAATAGAGAAAGTAATAATAATAAAACAATATGAAATATGAAATAAAATATTAATTATTGTAAATATTTGAAAATAATTGAAATGTTTCAATCAATATTTAGCAGAAATTGTACGGTATGATTCTTTCGTTGAATGAATTTTACAGAATAAACAAATTACATGTATAAATGAAGAAAAGTAATAAATAATAGGGAGATGTAAATAATAAATGTGAAATAGGAGAGGGAGAGAGAGAGAGAGAAGGAAAGAAAGAAAGAAAGTGATAGGTAAAAAAGGTTTCAGGTTTTATCATATTGAAGAAAAGATGAAGTACCTATTTTTCTAACGGCCATCTGTTCTTCGCCTATTTCGCTTATGTTTTTGATGTAATTAAAATTTGAATTTAAATATATACATAAATTATAGTGTTTAGCTTTGAAAATTTGATAAATGATGGTTTGAAAATTTCACGCCTCAATAAATCATTCTTTTGATAAGGAAAAAATAAAAATTAAAAATTTTATAGTATTTAAAAGTCATTTAATTAAAAGTTTTAAATTAATTAAAAGAATGATTTAGTGAGGTATATATTAAAAATTTTAATAAATTTTTGGTTTTTAAAAGTCATTTGATACAATTATGAAAAAATTATTTTACTATAAGTAACAAATATATATATATATATATATATATATATGCCTATGCCTATATTTACTGTACATTTATAACAATAACAATAATAAATGGTAGCTACTAAAATATATATATATATATATATATGCCTATGCCTATATTTACNGTACATTTATAACAATAACAATAATAAATGTTAGCATAATAGCGTTACTAAAACAATAGAAATAATGATAATAAACAGTGACAAAATAACAATAACAACATGATCCTAACAATGATATATAACACAATAACGACAGTAACAATGACACAGAACAATACAATAACAGCAATTGTAACAACGCAACAATAACAATAACAATGACAACAATATAACAACAATCGTAACAAGATAACAATAACAATAGCAATGACAGAACAATACAACAATCGTAACA